GTCCGCGTCCGGCTGTGCCGTTGTGTTTACAGATGATGTCATAAATCTGCCGCCGGGTTGTGCTTTAGAGACATAGAGCGGTCTCCAGCTTATTGAAGCTCACGCTTTACGAGCGTCCACTCTAGTGACGGGAAGGTTCAGTTTACCAAACCGATTCTTTCAATGTATTATTACCTAATAAATGTGAAAGACTCCTAGGCTACAAAAATGACCATGTAATACTCATGTTGCTAAATGCTACACATTTAGCCTAAATCTCACCAGCTACCAATTTTGGAAGCCTCAGTATTTTTTTGAAAGACTGAGGTATGAGACACTAAAGAGCACATATCATGGTAAATCAAAATGTCTCCACTTGTTTCATGTAGCATGTAAACTTTGTTAGAAACTGAATACCCATTCCATACAGTCCATACAACTATGAGCCAACCATTATGACCTCGTAACAATGGTACATGTCAAGGTCTGGCATTGGACAGTAGGCAAACAGTTGGTTCTTGAGGTTGACACGTTGGAGGTGGCAGAAATGGGCAGGTGTGAAGAGCAGCTTTGACCAGGGACAAGACGACTGGCTTGGAGCATCTCTGGAGCTCAAAGCTTGTGGGGTGCTCTCGGTCAGCAGTGGCGAGTACCTACCAACAGTTGTCAGGGAAGGGACAAACCAAGAACCAGCAGTAGGGTCTTGGAGACCCAAGGCTCATCAATGTGCAAGGGCAATGAGGGCTATCCCGTCTTATCCAAACCAATAGAATTGCTACAGAGGCATAAGTGACAGAAATGTTTGTTGATGGTTATGGGAGGGATGTGTGACAAAACACAGTGCATTGCACCCTGCATATGGAGCTGCGTAGCTGCAGACGAGTCAGAGTGCCCAGGCTAACCCCTGTCCACCATCGAAAGTGCCTACAATGGGCACATGAGCAACTGAACTGGACCTTGGAGCAATGAAAAAAGATCGCCTGGTCTGACGAGTCCCATTTTGTTTTACATCACGTGGACGGCCTGGTACATGTGCAGCGTGTGCCTCGGGGAATTTTTTGCTGGGAAACCCTGGGTCTAGTTTGTCAATTTGTGGATGTCAATTTGACACTTGACACATAAACATCGTTGCAGACCAGGTACACCTGTCAGTGGTGTACCATGAGTGGTGTGGCAATGGCCTCTTTCAGCAGGATAATGCATCCTGACACACTGCATATAATGGGCCTAATTCACCAATATCTTCCTAAGTGTATGCTTAAATTTGTTCTTGAGAAAAGTCTGTCAGATTCATGACGTGGTCTTATACCACAGAACTGTTCTCACTGTTCTTTGGGCTCTTGAGTGTGTGTGGGTCCTTTTGTTGAAGAAATCCCAAATAAGAAAACACTGAATGCCTGAATGTTTGTATGAACTGCGTAAGTCCCCAGATCTCAGTCCGATCAAACATCTGTGGGATGTGCTGGAATAACAAGTACGATCTGGGGCGCCTCCAACTCACAACATACAGGACTTAAAGAATAGATACCACAGGGGACCAACAGACAGTCCATGCCTTGGCGTGTTAGGCACGCTGTGGGACCAAAGGCATATTAGGCAGGTGGTCATAATGTTTTAGCTCTTTACTGTAGGAAATATGGAAATCAAGCTGCAAAAACAGCCCATTTTCTACTCGTTTTTGTCATGGCACTAAAACCACTTTGCATACATCCATCTATTCAGCCTACAACATTTTGCTCTGCCAACTCACACTGAAGAAGTGTTTCAGCCTGGACTGCTTTTTGATTGAGGCACAATACACAACATTGCTGGTGGTGGAAGTTTGAATGACTGTAATGTTATGCAAATTCCAGCAGTGTCTGTCAGTTAGAGGTCCAAATGTGTCGGACGCATGTATGAGACGAACGACTTGAGAAATTATTCAAGCGAAGCTGAAGCAGGTTTCGTATTTGATGGTGAAGCAGTTATTCAGCCCCCTTTTTGATTAACCAGTTGATCAAAAAGGAAGTGGTTAATTGTGTTAAAGAAGAATGTATGCATCTGGAGTTGAAAAGGAGTAAAAGCTTAAAGGTAAAGGTATGTTTTGCTTTTTTTGTTTTTTTTTGGCTTTAATCTTATGCCATTTGTTTTGACTTGTAGTTGGACCACAAGAAATAGTGGATCTGTCTAATGAAGCAGACGCTGATTAATCCACTCAGACTTCACTTTAACTCACCACTCACAGAAAGAACCTGCTCTCGACTAGGTAGGTCTCAGACCTAATGGGCAAGACATGCAAACTTTGCAATAGAAAACATCTTGAGAATAATGTGCAAGACTTGGTAGAGAAAACTGCACCGGCATCCTTCACTTTCTACTAAACGTCATTGAAGACCTGGCACTGTCTCACCACTTCTGACGGGAGATCAGGGGAGAAAAGGATCCTTTTCGCATTGAAAATCAGTGGACACTTTTGACGAGCCAGTTGCTGGATCTTCTCCCTCAATCGGCAGTGATGGATCCTAGTAATCATTACCTGCAGGTGTGCCGAGTCCACAGATGACTGCCCTCTGGATCAATTTCCAGAGGCTTATAGATGTTCTCAGCCCCCAGCAAGTCAGGAACGTATCTGGGCAGGAATTCCTTTCTCAGTTTTTTCAGGAAAACCAACCATGTTCTGGTGCCTAGAACATCCCTTCAGATCAACCACCTCGTTCTTATTCACTGCTTGCAGCTACTGCCAGGCCTGATCTGACTTGACTAGCCAGCTTTCCAGCTTGTTCTTGGCTAGCTTCATGCCAGCAATCTGATTGCCGTGATTACTGAGAACAGTCTGTGTGGCCTGTGGAGTTCACTCTAAGCTGTTGAATCGGTCATTCATCTTGCAGCTCATTTAATGAATGGCAGAGAGAATGTCTGATATGCCTAGATTAGCCTCTTAGGTTAGCAAGCTGCCCTTGTGGTAATAAGCCCCCTTCATTTTGTCACATGACTACACTACTTAAGTGTTTTAAAGTAGTTTATTGCTATAGCTTATTACTTTGGAGTTTGGAAAGGGAAATGGGCAAGGTTGCAATGATTTCTGGGTATGTTCTGTTGCTCAGGTTGTGATTTGAGTTCAATTGGTCCCTCACGCCTCCAAGGGCTTATTTAACACCCCTCACTTGAGATAATAAAGCAACGGAACAGCCCTTAAGATGGAGCCTGAGGATTGCCCCAGGTGAAATGATGAGTTCAAGTGGACAGGGACATATTAAAACCAGTACTGAAATGGGGGTTGGAAGTCCATTTTTCATTGGCTAACGCCACTATTTCTGACTCTGAGTGGAGTCAGAAACTGGGAAATGCCAATTTGCCCACTTGTAAATTGTGTTCGGCTGATGACGTCGTATTGACAATTGGTAAACTTGGGATTCTAGATAATAAATGAGTTTACAGGATGTAACATATAATGTATAACCTTAAAAATGCTAAACCTACAGTGAATGTGAAAAATACATACCTGATGCACTTCTATTAGTTCTATGTATAGCAAAGAAACAACTGACCACTATGCTTTCTTTTTCCATGTGGTGGGTGTACCTATGAACAAGCACCCCAAAAGAGTGAAGTCGTATTTACTAGTTAACCATCTGGTATATGCAATCTTCTGATAAGCACCCAAATGCAACATATGTCAGATGGATTTTATCAATTAACCCCCCCCTGTTATAATTTACACTTGCGTATTTAGCAATTTCCCTTTTGGGGTTTGGGGAGTCAGATGTTGAGATGCTTACAGCCTTAAACCCTGCAGAAAATGGATTAGCTACATTACCAAGATTGTAGTTGCTTTTGTTTTGTGTATTTTCTCCAAATATTGAATTTGTTCTTGCTAATTGTTTCATCCAACTAAGTTAAATAAGTCATTCAAAACAATCATTTGTTTACAGATTTTCAATCCTTGATCTGCTGGATGTTTAGGGTCATCAAAGGTGTTGGGTTCTTGCCTCATAATGACTTTTTCCACCTTAAATAAATAAAAGAGACTGATAACGCTCTTCTTTAATCATCACAAACTTTAGGTTTCACCGTGGCAACATTTACACGGCTGCATGCTGCCATCGCTCACTCAAAAAGCCACTACTTTTTCACTATGAACATATTGAAAGCTTAGCATTAGCATGCTCTACTTTCTCCAAATGAGAATTTAGTTGAGCTTTGTTAGTTCCTATAGACTACTTAGTTAGCAAGTAGTAGTCCTTGGTAGAACCGAGTGGTCAAAAAATATATCCTACTGTGAATAAGCAACCAAACCATCAAAATCTTCAAACATTCACTTGAAACGTCTACACTTATGGTAGATTCTGGTCAATAAGCCTTTACTCACTGTGTTATGCTTTCAGTTGATATATTAAATGTTAGGTGAACAATTGTGCATTTAATATTCAAAAATGTTTCCCTTTGACTGGTAAATAGTGGTCATTTTCTAACGATTTAGCTATAATGAAGTAGGCTGCTTGGTAGTTGTCATCCTCACTATCCTCACTATGGGCCTTAAAGATATAGTTTGGTAAAAAATCAAATATACATGATTTTCCACTTACCCCAAATGCAGCCGATCATCCAAGACATGCTTAGTGTCGAAACGTTTCTTATTTAGTCTCAAATTGGAGCTACGGGGCTTCTGTTGCTAACAAATATTGGAGGTAAATAATGACCAAAACAAATACAAATACATGTCTGAAACCTCTCGCCTAACTTGCTCAAACCGCATCCAGGTCTTACTTTGGTGATAATGTATTTCCAATGTTACCTTAAATGTGTATATACGTTACATCCTTATTAGCGCCATTAGCCTGAAGCTCCAAGCAAAACTTGGATGCCGAGCATGTCTTGGTCGATCGACTGCATTTAGGGTACGCAAAAAATCACGTAAACTAGATTATTTGCTGAACTCTGCCTTTAACGTTTGCCAGCTGCCACCCCTACTTGTAATAAGGCCCCCCAACAATGAAATCCTGACCTTGCCTCTGATATACATACAGTGTTGACGCCCTTACCTGAGTTTGCCTTCTGCATGTAGCTCATGGGGTGGATCATCACACACCATCTGAGACTCCGCCTCCAGCAGGTACACGAACACACTCTCCTGAAAAATACACACAATCACAAATCAGATGAGTATAAAACATAACAAAGTAAATAAACATTTACATTTTTCTATTTTAGAGATCATTAAAACTGTGGCACAACATCTGAAATGCAGAGACCAAAAAAACAAGACAAAGCTGTCGTCTAATTTAGCATCTTCAAAGCAGCCTCATTTGTCTCAATGCCGCTTTACACATTCTTGGCGTTTCCTCAAGCAGCTTCACAAAACGCCACCTGAGATGCTCTTTCAACGTGCCAAACGGGGAATATTCACTGGCTTTCTAAAAACGTCTGCATAAATAAGTGATTAAGATGTAAAGGAAGTCATTCAGAGCGGTTTGAGATTAAATGCTTCATTTTAGGCAGAACTGTCCACAGTGGTGGTGATGGCAACCAGATATCTAAACATTCGAATGCCTCTAAAAGGAACCTCACAGAAAGTTATTAAACAAAATGGCTATTAATATGTTGCCTGACATTCTTTCATCATAGTTTTGATGTAACATTTTTGTCTATAACAATTTTTAAAATCTATTCATGGCAAAATAGTCCCCAAAGAAAACTTTTTTTTTCATATTTTACACTATTTTACCATTATCAACATGTAAAAGGTCAGAAGACCTGTGTAGGTTCAATGGTCAGATGGTTCAGTGAAAATGTTCTCTGGAATGATCAATCATGCTTCGCTACCTGGCAGCCTGATGGACGAATCTGGGTTTGGCGGGTGCCAGGAGAACATTACCTATCAGAATACATAGTGCCAACTGTGAAGTTTGGTGGAGGAGGCATAATGAGTCTGGGGCTGTTTTCAGGGTTTGGGCCCCTTAGTTCCAGTGAAGGCTACAACTTGGGGAACGGAAAGGAACTCCAGTGACCTATGGTCTTGTCCTCAAACCCAGTGAACACCTTTAGGATGAAATGGGCACAAATTCCTACAGATACACTCCAAAATCTTGTGCAAAGCCTTTGCTTAAGAGTGGACACTGTTTTAACTGCAAAGGGGGCCAACTCCATATTAATGCTCATGGTTTTGGAATGGCATGTCCAACAAGCTCATACAGGTGTGATGGTCAGGTGTCCACATACTTTTGGCTTCTTAAAACTACTTGGAAGCTTTTAAAGAACTTTCAGTGAGTATTAAGCTTTATAGACAGCCTGTCAAGTTGGAATTTGCTATAGGTGTAGGTGTTCTTAATTCTTGATTCAGGCCTTTTCAACAATGAATGAAATTATGCTATAATAAGACCAAATGGCTCACTATTTCCAAGACATGTGATTGACCTTTGTGCTACCGATGAAAGCCAATCACATTGTATTTGAACAGGGCAACAAAAGGTCAGCCAATTCAACACAAATTAACACCTTCAGTGTGTAACTCCGGCCCCTTCTACATTACACAGTAATATCCGGTGACGGACAATACAGAGCTTTTAAAAGATCAGAATGACCCCACTGATATCTCAAACTATCCCAAAGAGCTGGTGGTAATGAAACCGTGAACTGTGGAGGTTTTGATTGTATAGCATGAAAGGACCATAACTAGACTGGTCAGAAGGGTCCACAGTAGGTGGCAATTTTAACTCCAGTGGGCGTAGTGAGTGGTGGAGCTTGGAAATGGTCACCTTTATCTTATAGCGAGAAGTTTCTCATCCACCTCGGAAATATCAATCAAAATACCTTCAGCTTCCATAGAGAAAACCTTGGATACTGAGCCCACACACATGCTAAATATAACCTTCTAGACCTGAAGAACGTCTCTACCTAATGAACTGTCACCTCCCTGAAATCCAGCCAAGGGCTCAGCAAGTTCTAAATGAACAAGTCAATGTCTCCTAACTCCAGCATATTTGAAATCCACCTAGAATAACGCAGGGGTTCCCAACCTTTTGCAACTTGTGGCCCAATCAAACTATCACAAAAGCTTCCACGGCCCACAACAAGGCCCACTGATAATTTTATCTGACTTGACTAATGAGAGGTGCTGGATGTCAAACTGGCTAAATTCAACAGGTTTAGCTACATATTCGCTATGGTGTAAATTGTTGGGTTTCAAAGCTTCGTTTGAAAAGACCTCTGAACAAACACCACATTTTCAATTTTCTTTAACTTGATGCCCAGCATATACTACTCACTGACGTATTTTCTTTGTTTCGGTTTACACTTGGTTTTGAGATATGATTACCACTTCCCTTGGCCTAAACAAGCGTTTTGAAAGACCTTTTTTTTTGTTTTTAATTTTTCCTCAATTTAGTCGTATTCAATTCCACCCACTTGTTAGGACTCCTCTAAGCACACAACACCACCAGCACCAGAAGGGTGAGCGTAGGCTTCCTCCGAGACCTACATCGTTTCAAAGCGCCACCGCATCTTTTCAAACTGCCACTCACGCAACGTCATTGGACAGCTGAA